TTGCACAATTATTTGTACTTACCTCATATCTAATTGTGGTTAAAGAAAAAAAAAAGTTTGTCCCTTCTAAAAAGGAATTTCAAGTTTCAGGAAATAGGTGTAGATATATCAGGGATCAAAGGTCCTTCATGTTGAAATAACACAGCATAGAGATTGCTCTCTTCCAGGTGCTCTATGCCGGTTATATGACAATTTTTTTCAACCACCTTCCAAGAAACATAAGTCATTTGAGTTTGTACAGGTGAATAAAGCAAGGCCCTGAGAAGCCAGAGGACCTAGATTTCCAGAGACAGAACTAGGACTATGGAGAGAGGTCAGGCCTACTCAGTTCACCTTCCTCTTCCAGAGTTAAGAGCAAATAATTGTAAAATGCAAGACTTTAACAAGATCCAGAAACTGGTTGGGGATAGCTTATTCCATCTTGTTTGCCAGCATGGCCTCACATAGCATTAAGGAATACGGCCCTGCAGACTCCGCCTCGCTCGGTACAGCTGCTGGGTGAGAACATCCTAGCAAGCCAGTCCACCAGGCCAGGGATCAGGGAGGGTCCAGAGGGGTGATCTGCTTTCACTTTCCTGGAAGTGGTGATGGATCACTGAGGGAGTCCTCAGGTTGAGGATCTAAGTGGCCATTCTTCCTGGACGCATGCCCCAGGACCTGTCTGGCACTCTCAGGTTGGCTTTCTGGCCGGACTTCTAACTACCGAGACAGTAGCCATTCCAGGAGATGTGGAAGCAATTGACTTACCTTTCTCACCCACGCTTTTTATTTTCACTCTTCAGTGCTTTTAAATTCTCTTTCCACAGCCTCTTCCATTTATGATGATACAATAATCATCATAGCTACTGTGTCTGAGTGCCTGCTCTGTGTCTAGCTTTGTGCTAGGCAGTTTTTACGTCTTACTTAAGCTTCACAGCCACCTTATAATGTAGGTCCCAGAGAAGTTCAGTAACTTTCCAAGACCATAGACCAAGTAAGTGGTTGAAAGGAAGTTTACATGCAGATCCGCCTGGCCCTGGAGTACCTGCTGTCTATTTCAATAGCAGAGGAGGGTCAAGGGATGGGGAGAAATTACATCGCTGTTAGACTGTATATAACAAGGAAACCAGTACAGTGAGAGGGTGTGTGTGGAGAACTCCCAAGTTCTACTTTAACTGAGATCACTTATTCACAGGGATGTAATTACCTAGAAGTAACTGCTATTTCCCAGTAATCTAAATGCTCGCTCTTCTCCACCCCTGTTTACAATTGCAAAGGGACGGTTGTTTTAAATTCCGTTATTTTTTTAATTCAATTGTTTTTCCTTTCAAGACTTTGTTGTCAAATTTAAAACCGTAATTTAGTTGCATTTGTTATTCCCAGAAGACATCATAGAGATTGGCTTTATGATAAAGCATCCTGTCAAGTGTGAAACAAGCAGACAGAAGAGTCATGGGATTGGAAGAGATGCTGGAGTTCATTGAATTAGATGACACGCCCAGAGACACGTCCACCCAACCCATGGGGAGGGACAGTCCTCGTGTCTCCAAGTGTGGCCCCAGAACAGCAGCGTTAGCAGCCCCTGGGAGCGTGTTAGAAATGCAGTCCCAGGTCCTGCTTTAAAACTGCTGAATCAGAATCTGTATTTTAACAAGATCCCATGTGACCTGTATGTTGGTTGAGGTTTTTGACATTAACTTGTATTATGACTCATTTGTTCTTTCTGAACAAGTGCAGTCTTGTCTCCCCACTCAGTACACCATGCTCCCCAGGTGTGAGAATGCCTCTCTTTTCACCCTCAGCTTACTGTTTATATCATGGACATCATTAAACATTTACTTTAAAGGCAACCTCAAGGCTCTGGCTCCAACCTAAACAAACCAGACACAAAAGGCATTCAGGAGTAGGGTTACTAGATTAAGCAAAAAGAAAAGATAAAACACCAGTTAAATTTGCACTTAAGCAATGTACAGTTTTCTAGTATAAGTATGTCCCTAATGTTGCATATGTCCTGTATTTTATCTGGTAACCCTACCCCAGAAGGGGCTGCCCTGTCCACTGCCCCTCTTCCT